ACGAAAATTGATAATTAATCCAAAGTAGTTGTAAGAATTCTCAGTAGGAAAAAATAGTTTTTGTGTAAATAATACCTGAATCAAGTAAGAAAAGTTTAACAGCATCATTTGACATAGGTTTTACTATTTCAGAGCTTAAAGGGGGGATGAAGACCACACTTCCATAGTTCTATAAATATAACATTTGCAAAATCCTTGTACATGTCCAATGATATTTTAGTAATAACAAGCCAGCTCTATGTAAGTTTTTATTGTTTTGTTTGCTTTTTTGGTTGGGGGGAGGGATTTACATCTTTTCTAGTATAATTTGTGTATACTGAGGGGGTGGACAGCTTTTGGGTGAGGTGGGAGGAAAGGGGGCGGGAGGTGGGAGACAAAAAATAGGTGGGAGAGAAAAAAAGATTCTAAAAGTGGGAGGTGGGAGATAGGGGCGGGAGGTGGGAGAAGGGTACTCCCTGTCCACCCCTTTATACTGGAACTTTGTATGAACTCTGCTCTGCTTGTGGGGCCAGCTTGTGAAAACGGGTGATTTGTAAACGAGACAAAGCGTCCGAAATATGGTTTTTTTAACCTGGAATATTTTTTGCACTAAAATTGAAATCATATTTACCTGCACACCAAGTCAGCTGTCTCATCATTTTCATAATTTCTAGAATTTTTTGTCTCCCCTTTTTCAAAATAGCTACAGTGGCCTGGTAAATCCAAGGGCCAGGTAGAATAAGAGAATTTACCCTGAAAATAACCCACAAATCCTATTGTTGACGCAGAGTCTGTAAATAATTCCATATCAAAGCTATTGGTAAATTCTTTTTCATGAAACATAGCAATGCCGTTCCATTTTGACAAAATAAAACGTAACTAAAGGTCTAAGTCTGTTCTGTATACACGAAATCAGACAAATCTTTGACAGTAGTTGACAAATTATTCAAACAAGAAACAAAAGACCCTCCAGGTAAAATAACCCTGGAAGCAAAATTTAAATGTTCCAATAACTGTAAAAGTTTTCCATGCAAGAAATAAAATGTTAGGCATTTTACTTTCACTAGACCTCTAAACTTTAAAATATTTGGCAGTCTGTAAAGGAGAAGGTCCGGTAAGGGCTAGTTTTGGCATAATATTCGAAGTTCATCTAATGAAAGATTTTTGACATTTTTTAAACACGTAAGTGTCTACTTCAGTCGATTCAATTAGTGTATGTAAAAGATTTGGACTGATTTGGTCATTAAAGACTCTCAAATGGAGGCTTAAATATGAAAAATCTATCAAATATACCATAAAACGTCACTTTTCAGATGGTTTTTGTCTAAAATGAAAGTGTCCGCATACGTGTTCAGTCTCAACCTTTATATATGTTATGTATTATCATCAATTACAACATATATTTAAATATTAAGACTGCACACAAATGCGGCCACTTCCATTTTAGACAAAAACCGCCTTAAAATTAGCACAAATGCTTAAATTGTGAAGATTTCAGTAATATTGCATGAATTTATGATGCTATTACCTGATGCATGTGCATTGTATTGTCAAAATCAGCCCATATTTATGGAACAGAAGTATTCTTCTTTCCAATATATAGCTAAAAGTTTACATTTTAACAAATTTTATAAAAATGCTATATTTGAGGACCAAAAAGGGGTCTTACCGGGCCTACTGCAAAGTTTAGTCTTAAAGTTAGTTCTTATAAAAACTGTTGAATGTAAACGATATGGACCTACAAAGTCTTATATTATAGGACTAGTCTTACTTTTAAAGTGTTTGATCTCCCCGTTTTTGTAAATATTTTTTCTATACAGTTGGATAACTAGTGAGTCATTCAAGAACAAAAGAAAAGAAACTCTTCTTGTTGTTAAATTACCGGTAAAAAAACGTTTTTTGTTTGTTTGTTATTTTACCATTCTGAAGTAATTATGAAACATTTTGTTTTTATTAAACTATCTGTTAATCTGTTATTAAGATTAAGAATAGGAATAATAATATTTTTTATTTTCCTAATCATAGGGCGCATTGGAAGCATATCAATCAAGTTACAGATACAGACAATATAATATAGTTATGATTATTAATACATATAACAGACAATAATTGTTCAATAATGAAAGGGGGATAGTCAGTTCATACAGTATACAAAGGACGATAACTCCTGGTTATTGACACTCCTAGTCAATTAAGATTGGAGTCGAGCGCACCTTCCATGCACGTGCGGGATTGGAACTCACAACTTCAGTTAACATGCTATTATTACAGTACTGAGTAGTTCAATAACTTCCTCCACCGAAGCCCCTACTAGTATTTTGATACATATTCCCTAAATCCATTAATTTTCAACAAGTAAGTTTTGGAACACACTGATGCAGGAGCTAAAATAACATTAAGGTTCATGTGGACCCTTCGTCTAAAATGGCTGCATTTTCACCCCAAAATTTACTCTGAGTACAGACAAACCTGTGCATCTGGAAAAGTTTTAAGGCATAGCATGCCCTAGATAAATAAAATTCAAATATATTTTATGTTTTAGAAAATTAAAAACTTAACCGGATTTTGCAGTGCACTTTTTTTCATTCCTCCAGAAGGTGCAAAATAAACAAAGTTGGAAAAGAGGTTTGAGAACTTCCCCACAGGTAATAATTGAAGTGAACTGTTTTGATTGACATGGACAATAGATACCTGACAATAATTAGTGATTTAAACTGTGTACCTGAGTGGACCATATCAAGTGAAACTCAACTGTTTGTTAATTTTATCATCTTCTGCAGGGACGAAAAAAAGTGCACTGCTAAATCCAGTTAAGTTTTAAATTTTCTAAAACATACAATGCATTAGAAGTTTATTTATCTAGGGCATGCTATGCCTTAAAACTTTTCCAGATGCGCAGGTTTGTCTGTACTCAGAGTAAATTTTGAGGTGAAAATGCAGCCATTTTAGCCAAAGGGTCCACATGAACCTTAAGAGACAATCAATTTACAAGTAAAAATGAAAACAGGTACAGTCTTCTTAGTTAATTCAAATGAAATGTACAGGTACTAATAAACCTCTTAGAATTTCCCTTGGTGACATCACAAAATATTAAATGTCAGGTTGCATGGTGTCATTCCATTTTGTTTGTATTTTTAAACTTCTATGTAAATATAATATTGGTATGATCTGGTATAATAACACAGCCAGTAGAAACAAGTTGTTGAGATTTTTAGGAAGTTGCTCATTATTATCCTCATATAGCAATCTTGTATTCATTTTACCCTATCTTCTATAACTGAGGGTGTGGATGGGGGTTTACAAAATAGAGAATAATGGACAAACACATAAAGAATAGAGAAAAATGGACCAAAAAAAATAAGGAATAGAGAATAGAGAAAAATGACCTAAGAAATAAAAAGAAAATACAGAAATAAAGAACCCTCATAAGGATATATATGCATTTTTTTATATTTGAAGGAAAATTACTATTTTTGTTGATATTTGTGTTAATCATTACAAAGTTTTCTTGTGAAGTTATAATCAATAGCATCATTGCTGAGAACTTGGTCTACATTGATTAAATCTATTTCATATTTTTTTACCAGTTTGTCCACTGTTTTGGGGGTCAGTATTATTCAGTAACAGTGGCTAAACAGTGGCATAGCCAGTAGAAAATAAATTTTAAGCAGGGGGCTGGGTGGGTGGCAGCCCCTAGAAGCTGAATGATAGTGGTAAAATTTTCATGGAAAAATCATATTGCTTAAATAATTTGTAAGCACAAAAATATCAACAGGATAAAAGTTTACAGCCTTCAAAAAGTAGGATTTTTTTAGGCCATTAATTATCTTTGCATTCAGTTCTCATTTGAACTAGGGTCTTAAAGGGAAAAATGTTGCCATTTTATGAATATTTGCGCCATGACAGCTATCATGATGAAATACAAAATTTATTTTTTGTCACTGTAAATTGATAACCAATTTTGGGTATGATACCCATAAATGGGGATTGTAACCATTAATGAGGATCTTCCTAAACCTGTCAAAGATCATTTTCTGCTGTTTCCATCATGACCTCAAAATCCTGTACAGTAGATTGACATTTAATTTGAAAGTTTCATATTGTATATGTTTTATTTTATAACTGAGCTAACCAAAAATTCTGTGGTTATACTCATGTAAAAGCTTTGACCAATATCATACAATATTATTTCAAAAGAGTAATGCAGGGTCTTGTGCCTAATGTTTTTATGTGTTACTGTTCTTAGATTAGAACTTTGCCCATCAGGGCAATTCTTTATTATCTGAACAAAATTCTGTTACATAATTTGATGAAATACCTTTATCAGGTCAAAATATTTTTCTACACAGCCAGTCACTCAAGCATGAAGTGAGTAGATGTGAGTGAACAGATTTATTACCTGTATGACCATGTGACTTGCAGGTTAAAATTTGCTCCAAATTTAGTGTGATCTTTCCTTGGACAAAGACATGCATTTTTCTTTAGTAGATAGATATAAGAAGATGTGGTATGAGTGCCAATGAGACAACTCTCCATCCAAGTAAAAATTTATAAAAGTAAACCATTATAGGTCACAGTTCGGTCTTCAACACGGAGCCTTGGCTCACACCGAACAGTAAGCTATAAAGGGCCCCAAAAATTACTAGTGTAAAACCATTCAAACGGGAAAACCAACGGTCTGATCTACCCTTATGGAAAAATAAGGCTTCTTGCAAATATTTGCGGCAATGTTGCTGCAAATATTTGCGGCAATATTGCTGCAAATATTCATTTTTCGTATGCAAATTAGTTTTCTTGCAAACAGTTGCTGCAATATTGCCGCAACAATTTGCGGCAATATTGCAGCAAATGTTTGCGGGAAAATCAGTAGCTATGATTGTTGCAGCAATATTGCGGCAAATTCATTAGCTGCAATGTTGCAGCAATATTGCAGGAAAATTAATTTCTTGCAATATTGCCGCAATATTGCAGCAAATCTTTCAACAATTTCAGTTGAAAAATTAGGAATTAAAAACTAAGCATTTAAAAAAGTATGATTTAATAATAAAACAAAATTTTCTCTGTCCTCTATAGGTTGTTGTGTTACATATCTGTGTATCCTTTAGTTCTGTTTCTCTGTACTCACTGTCCTTAAAGTTGAATTTTCTGATTTCAAATACTGCAAAATAAAAGTTGAAGAATTTAGCATACATTAAAAGAATAACTAAACATTATAAAGAAATAAAGATATAAGTTACTACTATATATTGTAAATTCTGGACTTGTAAAATGAAAATAAGTCTTTATAAAGAGATGATTACAGACCAATTTTTCCAGCATTTGTTTCACTTAAAGGGTAAATGTCTAAAAGTTATCAAGTCTATCCAGAAATTGCATATTACTATACATTTAACCTTATGCCAGTACTAGGTTGTTATTGCTTTTTTGAATATTTGTTTTTCATTGAACTATAACATAATTGGTCTTGTCTATTCTTTAAAATTTTTGTGATTAGTTGTGTATATATAAAAGCTAAATATTGTTGCCATTTGTTGAAAGACCTCTTATTGGCAGTCAAATCACAGATCTCTAATTTAATACCAAACTGCTTTTATTAGAAGATTTCTTGTTTCAATTTAAGTAATGTACTTTCTAAAACATATAGTCTTAAATAGATTTAAAAAAATATCTCCTGTCTTACACAATTTTAATAATATTCATGTGCATAAATCTATTGTCTTATACTTTTGTCAACTCTATTAAGTTAAGAAAACTCTTTGAATATCACTATTTTGAACTGTAAGAGCAAGCACTTATTCAAAATGGTGGACATTCAACTCCATTGTACTTACCAAAAGATGTTATCCAAATTATGTGTAAACACCAATCTTCCTAAATCCAAGAGTCATGTCAACTGAAGGCTATCATATGCACTATCCAGTGTCAATAGAATTGATTGGAACTTTTGGATCTAAATCCATTGTAAAATTCATATTACTTTGTTCATGATAGAAGACATCTTTGTTTGTTGTATGCATGTTCATGTCCAGTTCAAATTTTGAATATGTTGATCAAGGTTGCTTAGGGTATTGTGACAGTGTGATCCCTTTGAAATTTGCCCCTAATTATAAATATCAATTGCCTAAATCTTGAATATTTGTTATATATTATAATAAAAAAATAATTATATATATATTTTTTTTTTTATCTTTGATGTTATAAGTTATAATGGAAATATATACAAAGAAGAAATGCTCTACCCTTAATTTGGCCTCAAACTCTGTGTACATTAATTTATGGTACTTCCTGTCTTTACCACTACACAGAGATAAATTGAAACCAGATGGCACATTACATTTCTATCACCAGCTCATATTACTAATTGAGATGAGAAAGATAATTTGTGTATACATAGTTTTAAAATAATGATACTAGAAATTAAACAAAATGCAACCTGCAGGTGAGGCTAAATTCATTTGATGGAAAATATTAGAATTAAAAATATTGTTCATAGAAAAATGTCACAAAAAAGTGACAAAAAGGCATAATAATACATGTAGAACAAAAATTAATATGACTCAATTATTTAGATTAAACTTGTTGAAATAAATACCAAAGTATTCTTGAAATTCTTTCCTTACAAAATATCATATAAATGTGATGTACAGTTTAGGAATTCTAAAAATATAAGCATTGTTATTTGAAGATTTATTTAAAATAAATTATTCAAATATCCAGATATTTCTGAGTAAAATAAAGTATGACGACAACAAATTTAGATAGTTAGAAGTATCCATAACCAAATGTTCAAAGAAACAATATGTTGTGTATTATTTGAACCTTAAATCTTAAAACAAATAATCATATGTAATATTTTAAAATGCTTGAAATATTGGTGCAAACTATCTGATTGTCTGACATTATTAAAGAAACTTTTCTTGCAAAGTTGTTGCAAAAAGTCATTCCTTAAATAATAAAAGAAAAGGTTCCTGCAACTTTCTAGCAAACAAATTCTTTCTTGCAACATTGCAGCAAACTTGCTGCAATTTTCTTGCAAACAAATTTTGTTGCAGTAACATTGCGAGAATGTTGCAGGTAGCTGTGACAACCTGCAACTTTCTTGCAAACACTTCTTGCAAACAAATTTGTTTGCTGCAATATTGCCGCTATATTGTTGCAATATTGCAGCAAACTTTTCATTTCTGTAAGGGTATATAAAAAACAAGAAACAAGAAACACTTATGAACCACATCAACAAACGACAACTACTGAAAATCAGATTCCTGACTTAGGACAGGTGCAAACAAATGCAGCGGGTTTAAACATTTTAATGGTACCAAACCTTCACCCTTTCTCTGAAACAATAGTGTAACATCACAACATAGAAAGACACACTATAAAATATCGACTGAAATAGCTTAACTCAATCAAAGGACATATTAACACCATTGAACATACACTGAACAAATAAATTTGACATTATGATACAATGTAAATACAAAATAACTAAACTAAGGGAAGAATAATAAAAGTAACATGTTATATCGGTATGAAATGTTAAACAATTAAAGAAAAACAATATGCTCGAACAAAAATATCAGCCATTTTAATTGCAATTTAGAACTATTTTGGTACATGAAATATGTAAAAAGATTATGAGGAGTTTAAAGGTATTATTTACTATAAATATGTTTTGCTTTGATCTATTTTGGATTTTAAATTTCTAGTTCCAAAATATTACTTTTGAAGAAATGAATGATTTACAAATTTTCCAAACAGAATGGAAAAGAGTTCTGTATGACACCCCCACGGAATAAACTGATATGTTATTTTGTTCATTAATATGATGGGAGTGCCATATGAAAATCTTTCCAGAATATGATGAATTTTTAATTTTTTTTCAAGTCAATTGATTTTTATACGACCACCAAAAATTTGGCGGTCGTATATTGGTATGACGTTGGCGTTGTCGTCATTGTCCGAAGACACATTGGTTTTCACACAATAACCTTAGTTTAAGTGAATTTTACCATAAGGTTCAATACCACAAAAGGAAGGTTGGAGTTGATTTTGGGCGTTATGGTACCTGGGGGTTATGGTTTCAACAGTTATGGAATTAGGGGCCAAAAATAAGCATTTTTGTAACTTCCAGATAATAACTTGTGTGTTAGTGTATGGATCTCTATGACATTGTACCACAATGTTCAATTTCACAAAGGGAATGCTGGGATTGATTTTGGGAGTAATTGCCTCAAAATTTTAGGAATTAGGGGCCAAAAAAGGGGCAAAAAACAAGCATTTTTCTAGTTTCATGACAATAACTTGTAAGTGTATGGATCTTTCTTAAATTGGACTGCAAGGTTCCATATCACAAAGGGAAAGCTGGAATTGAGTTTGGGGGTAATTGCCCAAAAACGTTGAGGAAAAGGGGGCCAAAAATAAGCATTTTTCTAGTTTCCAGACAATAACTTGTGTTCACGTGTATGGATCTCTCTGAAATTGTACTGCAAGGTACCATACCACAAAGGGAAGGCTGGGATCAATTTTGGGGGTAATTGCCTCAAAATTTTAGGAATTAACGGGCAAAAAACAAGCATTTTTTCTAGTTTCAGGACAATAACTTGTGTGTAAGTGTATGGATCTTTATGAAATTGTACTACAAATTCCATATCACAAAGGGAAAGCTTGGTTTGAGTTTGGGGGTAATTGCCCTAAACGTTTAGGAATTTGGGGCCAAAAAGGTGCCAAAAAACAAGCATTTTTCTAGTTTCCAGACAATAACTTGTGTTCAAGTGTATGGATCTCTCTGAAATTGTACTGCAAGGTACCATACCACAAAGGGAAGGCTGGGATTGAGTTTGGGGGCGATGAATTATAAAGGGGTTCAAAAATTTGGGGAGGGGATTTTTTTTTTCCTGTTTTTTTTCCCACTTTTTTCCTTTTTTTTTCTTTAAAATTTTCCATTTTAAGTTGGTTATTTCTGATTTATATATAAAAGCAAATAATAATGATATGGTTTGATTTCATCAAAAATTGAAATATTGGGATTCTTTGATATGCTGAATCTAACCGTGTATTTAGATTCTTAATTTTTGGTCCCGTTTTCAAATTGGTCTACATTAAAGTCCAAAGGGTACTATAATTAAACTTATTTTGATTTTAACAAAAATTGAATTCTTGGGGTTCTTTGATATGCTGAATCTAAACATGTATTTAGATTTTTGATTATGGGCCCAGTTTTCAAGTTGGTCCAAATCGGGGTCCAAAATTACACTTTGTTTGATTTCAACAAAAATTGAATATATGGGGTTCTTTGATATGCTGAATCTAACCGTGTATTTAGATTTTTGGATTTTGGCCTCATTAAATTTATCCACATTGAGTTCGGAGGGTCCAAAATTAAACTTTGTTTGATTTCATTAAAAATTGAATTATGGGGGTTCTTTGATATGCTGAGAGTTTTGGTCCCAATAGGAATGTGGGACCAAAGGGCCCAAATAAGCATTTTTCTAGTTTTCAAACAATAACTTGTGGAATGGTGTATGGATCTCTCTGAAATTATACCACAAGTTTCCATACCACAAAGGGATGGTAAGAATTGGCTTTGGGGGGTTATGGCTCAAACCATTAAGGAATAAGGGGCAAAAAAGGGAGAAAAACAAGGGTTTCCAGGTTAATGCACAATTACTTAAGTACAAAACATAATTTAAAAGCAGTGTAAGGTTGGTAATTCAAACTCATTTGAATATCTCACCTACACTGCTTTTAAATTATGTATATTAGAAATTTGCCAAAAACTTTATTGTTAATAAATCCCATTGGAAATTTGCCCAATAACTTTAGTATAATAAACTACATTGGAAAGTAAGAATTGGCTTTGGGGGTTTATGGCTCAAACCTTTAAGGAATGAGGGGCAAAAAAGGGGGACAAACAAGGGTTTCCAGGTTAATAGACAATTAAGTACAAAACATAATTTAAAAGCAGTGTAAGGTTGGTAATTCAAACTCATTTGAATATCTCACCTACACTGCTTTTAAATTATGTATATTTGAAATTTGCCAATAACTTTATTGTTAATAAATTCCATTGGAAATTTGCCAATAACTTTAGTATAATAAACTTCATTGGAAATTTGCCAATATAAAATGTTGCTGATGAAGGTTTTTTGTTTATTTTTAGCCATGACTATGATGTCATTTTCTATTTTAATAGCCTTATGATGTATTTAAATTTTTTAATACTTTTATGATGTATTTAAATGGGCTTTTATGGTTGCAAATTTATTGGGGTTGTAATTCAAACTCGTTTGAATATCTCAGCTACACTGGTTTTAAATTATGTATATTGGAAATTTGCCAATAACTTTAGTATTGTTAAATTCCATTGGAAATTTGCCAATAACTTTAGTATGGTAAACTCCATTGGAAATTTGCCAATATAAAACGTTGCTGATGAAGGTTTTTTGTTTATTTTTGGCCATGACTATGATGTCGTTTTCTATTTTAATACCTTTATGATGTATTTAAATAGGCTTTTATGGTTACAAAGGAATTTTATTTTTAGATATTACTGTAAAATGTTGCTGATTAAGGTTTTTTGTTTATTTTTAGCCATGACTATGATGTCATTTTCTATTTTAATACCTTTATGATGTATTTAAATGGGCTGTTATGGTTGCAAAGGAATTTTACTACAAAGGAAAGACTGCAGTTGAGTTTGATGGTTAATGCTAAAAGGGGGATTCAAAAAGTTTGGGGGGAAGGGGGGGTTTCCAATTTTTTTTTTAAAAGGGTTCATATTTTTTTTTCAAAAATTTTCAAAATTTCAAATTTTTGAAAAGTTTCAAGAAGAAATCTTCAATGGCACAGTATTGCGCATTAGATTTGTAAGATTTTTGACCACATTTATTTTGTGTCAGAAACCTATATAATGTCAAAAATTTGATCACAATCCAAATTCAGATACCGGTAGTATCAATCTTGAATATTGTGTCCAAATTTGCCCAAACTGTTCAGGGTTGGACCACTGCGGTCGTATCAGGCTGCGCTCAGCAAAGCATTTTATTGAGATTGAGATTTATTGAAGATGCATGTACAACAAATGTCTGTGTATGTCTAGAAGTTTTACAAAAGTAACAGAAATCAACCTGTAACAAAGGAACTTATAGATTTGCATCCAAATAATATCTACAACATATTGAGGAAAGGAGGTACGTCACATTCATGCATGTATCTGTCTGAGGGACTAGAATAGTTTTACCAATTGAATTTGGTTAAGTTTTTGTACCGGTTGGGATCAACCTACTGCAGGTCTGCCAAGTCGCATCCCAAGAGAAAATAAATCTGGGATCCCACTGGAATTCTGGCTGGAATTCCGATAATTGGAATCCCACCTGATTCCACTGGGATAAAATTTCGGGATTCCCACAAAAGAAGCGGGATTCCCATGTAAATCCCGGTGGAAATATACTGGGATCCCACTGGGATATTGTGGGATTTTGATTGGAATATACAGGGATTCCGGAAAAAATTGGGACCCTGAAATAAATCCCAGTGGAAATATACTGGGATATTGTGGGATTTCGAATGGAATATACTGGGATTCCTGGAAAAAAAGGGGGGATCCCAAAATAAATCCCAGCAGGATATACTTGAATTCCATGCAAGTACTTGACTCCACTGGGATTCCTGGTTTGTTTATTTATTACCCTTGCATAAGATGCAAAAGGATACATGATGTAAAGTTCTCCTCCTTTCTGTAAATAAATTTGCTGTCTCTGTACTTCCAACTAGTATTGCTGAGTAAAGGTAACTGGAATCTGCATACAATCTGTTTACTATCAAAATTTGCAGCTCCATTTAATCAAATCATTAAATCCCCTAAAAGTATCAAAAAAAATCCACAAAGAATCAATTGTTCAAGATGTTTTGAAGCAATAAATTCAATAGAAATATTATTGCATGTTTATACAGTAGATTGGAAGCCATTTGGAATCAAATTAATTACCCTCCCCCTTTTTTATCCCCTGAAGATAAACAACTAGCGACTTATTATTTTCACCAAATAACCATTCACACAACTCAATTAAATTTTTACATATCTACCAGTTATGCCTGTTATGTGACAACAAGATTATTCATTGTTTTTACTATATATATATAAAAATATTAATTTTCGCGAACCATTTAGGTCACGGAAATTCCATTTTTTGCCAT